TGTTTTTTGGAAGCAAGAAATTGTAAATTGACCATTATCACAGCTGAGTCCGGAGTGCCTCTTTGAGAGATGGACACGACCGTGACGTCTTCCGTTTGAAAAGCCAGTTTCCGTCATACTTGTGTATTTTCGCCGAAACGGGGTTTTTACTTGTGACTCTGGTGGAGACACCGAGGAATCAGTCCTGCTAAGGCGACAGCAACTGACCTTTCAAAAGTTAGTTTAATTTATGACCATCAGATGAGACAGGGAATAAAGCTCATTTGCTCCGTTTTTAATATGCGTCCGCGTTACAGACTGAGCGGCTCCAGTGTAGCCAGTCTCAGTCTCAGTTTCCCCGTGGTGTTTCATTCATTACAAACTGGGAAAGGGCAGCAGTCGAGCCCCTGCTCTGCCGAAAACTGACCAGAGACAGCTGCTGTCGTGATTTCACGCCGCCGCCACCCCCCCAAGTCCTGGCTGGAGGGTCAATTGCGATAAACTTTGGAATTTAGCAAGCAGCTGCGTCCGTAAATTGCGGACTAGTTAATACGGTAATATCCGGTGATCATCGCCAGCTTGGCGCTCAATTGCAACGTAAAACCGCGCGGAGCAAAGCTGGAGACCAGCTGAATTTGTTGTGCTCAGTGCGCTGCTGCGGACTAGTTTCAGCGGCCAAGTTCGTCGCAATTGGTCTTATGGTGGCGCACTTGTTGAGCCGAACGGGGCCATGTGTGACCGACCTTTTTTTAATGTGGAGCCTGTATATCGGGTGTTACGGTAAAACGCGCAAGGGAGCTTTCCAGCCCACTGGCCCTGTGATCGGAACAGCGAAGCCAAGTTAGACATTTGTAGCCGCGAACTAGTCTTCGGTTACTTGAATCCTGGTCTAAGGGATCAGACCGTGTCTGCCGTTTTATTATCCAGCCAGTAAAAATATAAAGAGATGTCGGCGATTGTTAGACGAATAATTGGTACTGCCAAAGCTCCAGCAGCGATTGGACCATACAGGTAAGAAACAGACACACACACACACAAGTTAACAAGCTGGTCTTTGTACTGTACGTCCGTCTATTGTGTTCTTATTTCGGCGTGAGAAAGTTTAGCCCTAGTCAAGTCGGGGGCAACCGGACAGTTGTAAATCACGGGTGGCGTGTCTGCGTGTGACACGCGTGTCTTACAGATGTCACTTTTCCCAGTTCAGTTAAATATTATCCACTGATAAAAGGCAACAATAATTTGCTCTCGTAAAGATCATTTGTAACGTTACTGTAAAGCAGTGATATCAAAGTGTAGACTGTTTTGTTTTCCCCGTATATGTGCAAAAATCTACTGGATGCTTCTCAATCGGTGCACAGGATTATTTATACATATTTGTCATTATTCTGTACTTAATGAGCAGTACTAGTAGAAGACCAATAGTTACTCATGCTTGAGTCGGGGGCGTGACGGTGGCTACTGTTAGTTTGCGTCTGGATTCAAAGGTTGCACAGCCTTCATCTTTTGGAGCTGAAGTTAAGTACATCAGCAACATGTCTGCTCTTACTAGGAAAATTCCTTTTACTCCAAAAGCTCCTATAAGACAAGGGATTTACAGGTACGAGCAAGCATGGGCGAAACCTCTTACTGTATTTTTTAAAATCAAAGATTATTTTTGTGAACCATATCTTGTTAATAGTTCTTGTTTGTTTTAAATAATTAAACTCTGGTGTTTTAGCTGTAGAGTTTTGATATAGTTTAGTTTCGTGGAAGCCGGCACGGAAGCGCCTTCGCTCGCTCTTTGAGCAGGTAGTAAATTTATAAGAAAAGAAGACCTGCAGGGTTGAACCCCTGTGAACCAAGATATCTGTGGTGGAAAAACGTGTTCCAATAGTAAAATTACACGCCAGTGAAAGTTATATACAGGCTTACGTCACCCACCTGCTGTTTACGTCGTGGTTTCTGCTGTAAATGAGAATTGCATTTTTATGTCTTTGTACTCTAACGCATCTCCAGATCATAGCAGTAGACACGCAATTTAAGCCAGTGTATTATTAAAACCCACAATTCCCCTAAAATGATTGCAAGGGTGCTATATATTGTATAAAGATGTCGTGCGTCATGTGCAACTGTGTAAAAAATATTGCAGGATGTCTTTTAGAGAGCTGTGGGTTTTAATTTAACACAAGATCTAGTGTAGGCTGGCGTTATTGAGCTGGAGCTCGGCTGGAACTGTCCTGCTCGGAGGTGTTGTCGCTGTTTCAGCCAATCGGACAGCAGGAGCTCCTTCGCTAAAAGATGTTTCAACACGAAGTGCAGAGTCGAAACTTTCCAGCGGACCGAGTTCAGGGAGTTCAATCTCTCGCTCTTGTATAGTTACCGTGGACGCTTACCTCTCGAATGGATCCTTTTGAGGACTAAAAACATCCAGGTCTAACTTTCTGGTAGTTTTTGTGCATCTTTAAACTTTGATGTTTAGAATTTTACAGAAGCTCCCCAGATAATACAGAAACCTTTTTTTCTTTCCCCAAACAGACTTTTTGGGGGTTTTATGTCGTGAAAATCACATTATTTTATTACGTTTTTAGTGTCTGAACCAGATAGGTCGATCGAGACCTCTATTTACAACGACCACTTGGACAATACCTGCTTGTGCACCAGTGCGCTTTATTGGTGCGATCTGAGTACAGTAACGTGCTCATGGGCAGAGGGATACAGAATGTGCACAGCTGAGATCCTGCCAGGAGCAGCTGTGTCTCAGTAGCAGCAGTTGATTTCTAACTTGATTGTTGTGTGAATTTATTCATTTTAATTAGACTACTCCATTTGGGTGTTCATTAAAAAAGCCATACTAAGTTCTTAAGAAAAGTTACAAACAAGTGAAGGCCTTTCGATCCACCTGGCTTGTTTGGTAAAAAAATTCTACTCTTGCCCATCTCTCACAACCTACATTTAATTATTGCATAAAGAGCTTAAAACATATTCTTTCCTTGAGGATCCTTGACACCCTTTGTTTAAATCTAATTACGCCCCTCAGAAAGCAGATACAGAATTCACCATTTAAAAACAAACAGGCTTAAGTTCTCATTTCTACCTATGGCCATAACCCTGCTCATCTGAGGATTATCTTGCTCATGTACATGCGTGCTGTGTGTTTGTGTTTTTTCTTTATATTGTCTGCTGCTGGAAAAGAAATTGCCCCTTGAGGATGATAAAGACAATTTCTCTGTCTCTCATTGTTAAAAGAAAAACCTTTCTTTGGTCTGATAACCACAAACTGCGCAGGAAGAGTATATTTATAAAATAAAGGAGTGGTCTTCCACTGAGAAGCGGGTTACCCCTTGAATGTGTGTGCAGTGGATTGGCTACGCTCACAGTGCGCTAGTGTGTCACCACGGTGACACAGAAATGGCCTCCTCCTGCCTGCCTGTCACCCTGATCTTGTCTTTCCCTCTCCAGCCAGGCGGTGCTGGTTGACCGCACCATGTACATCTCTGGACAACTGGGGATGGACCCATCCACTGGACAGATTGTGCCAGGGGGTGTGACTGCTGAAGCCCGACAGGTAGCCCTAAACCTACATCCTCCATTTCTTCCAGGAGTGACCATTGAACTCTCAATATTAAGAGGGATAATTGTGGTCTAGATGTGTCCCTCCGTCCTCCATCTGATTTGTTGTTGTTTTTTTACAGGTTTAAGACTGTTTTGCCTCCTTTTGTGTTTTTTTTTAATTTGCTGGGGTTTTTTTTTAATGGTAGTTTCACACCAGTTTTTTTTCCAGTGCTAATGGAGAAATAGCAAGAGCCTGCAATCTTTGCTGTTTTACCTTTTATTGGCATTTTTTATTAGTAATTGCAGAATGAAAATAATTGACCGCTGTTCCTGTTGAAAATTGACAGGAATCCACTGAGATTAAAAGACCCTGTTTCTGTCTGAGGAAAACTAGTTGCAAGAACTTTAGTGAAGGTGTTTCCTTTCATAACAGGCTCTTGCAAACATGGGAGAGATTCTGAAGACTGCTGGATGTGATTATAACAATGGTAAGGAATGCCTCCGTTGTCCGTCCGGAAGCAAAGTGCTTCAGAGTTTCCTCGCTTCCAGTCAGGTTTTGTGTCAGCTTCAAAATCCTCCTGCCTACCTATAAGGCTCTGCATGGCTTGGCACCTCAGTACCTGTCTGAGCTACTATCGTCCTTCTCCCCACCTGGCAACAAAAGCTATGGAACTCTCTCCCCAAGGATATTGGAGAGTCACCTGCTCTAAACTCCTTCAAATCTAGATTTTAGAAGGACCTTAACTTAACTGATTCTGTTATTTACTCCTTTGCTTCTAACATACTCCATACCCCCATCTAGTGTCTCCTCTCATTGTGTATTATATTGTGTAGTTTGTTGTTGTCATTCTGTAAAGTGCTTTGAGAAGCCGCCTTTAAAGGTGCTATTATTATTATTAAAGTTGAGTAAATGAAATTCTGCTAAGCAATGACCGTTGTTTATTTCAGGATATGGCTAGTGCCCTAATCGGAGAAATTTAAAATGACTTCTTGCCAGTCCTGTCTTTTCGCTCCCTGAACAGCCACTGCGTTGGCTGACGCCACACGTGGAATTGTGTTCTGTTTTCCAGTTGTGAAGACCACTGTTCTTCTGGCAGACATAAATGACTTCAATGGTGTGAATGACGTTTACAAGCAGTGTAAGTACCGTGAGTCACTGATAAGCAATGTCGCACGTAAGCCACGATTCCAAACTAACATGCTGATGGAAAAAAGTTGTGGTTGGGGATCGACAACGTCGCACTGTTGCACTGAACCACTCCAGTCTCGATTTGGATGAGAAGATATTAAATATGGGCAGTACAGTGGCACAGTGGCTAGCATTGCCTCTGGGTTCAATTCTTAGTGTTCACTTCTCTCTGTGTGGAGTTTGGGTGTTCTCCCTGTGTCCACTTGGGATTCCCCTGGATGCTCCGGTTTCCTCCCACACTCCAAAGACATACTGGTAGGTCAGTGGGCTTTTGGGAAAACTGGCCCTGGTGTGAGTGTGTGCCCTGTGATGAGGTGGCCTCCGGTCCCCTCTTTCACCCAGTGCCTCCCATGACTGGCTATAGGCCTCTGTGACTCTGAATTGGATGAGCTTTGAATTTTACTATCACATGACTTTCACTTAGATGTAAGTCTGTCTTAGTTATGCTTAGTCACAGTATCAAATCCAGGATCCCGTCCTGCTTTCTTACCAATGCTCATGTATTTCTAAAGAGCCCAAGTATCAGAAAGTAATTGGATATAAGCTTGTCAGTGAAAGTTCTGTGACATTAAAGATTGAAGACTGGATTTCAGATGCATCACATCTTGATTGTTGTGTGAATGTGTGCAGTCCGTAGCACATTTTTATCTATGTCCTTCTATTAATTGGGGTATTAATGGAAGGCTGCTGTCAAAATCTGGGTTTGTGAGTGTGATTGGCCATTTCAATTTTGCAAGAATCAGAGAATTATTCATGTTTATATTATTGTCTAAAAGCACTTGTGCTAAAGGCACAAGGAGGAACATACTGGTTTTATTTAAAAAAAAACTTGTTTATACCCTGTCAGTAATTTATTTTTTACTGTGCAGTAATCCCTCGATATTTGAGTTTTAATGTGTTCCTCAAAAACTTGTGTAACAGCAACCCCTGCGTCCTGTGTCACAATCTCCGATTGGTTCTACAACTCAAAAGTGTTTCCTCATAACCTAGATTTCAGCTGAGTACCACACAGAACTGTATCCAACTATGAAAACGATATCATTCCTGCTTAATTATTTGAGTAGCCTGCTTAAAATCATCAGCCGAGCCATAAATAAATAATAAAACAGCAACACCCTTGCTCGTTTACACTGCAGTAGTTATATTCTTACACTCGTGAGCAAACGCATAAACGTTAGGTAATGTACTGTACTATATGCACCTAACACAAACAAGACCTGATTCCCCAAAAAGTAAGAATGTAGTAAAATAAAAGTAAATTCTTGACTTTCTGGGGGGAAAAATGACAAAACTAAAGAGTGGACAGGAGGACAGAAGAATCTTGGTGGTGCTTTACGAGAGCCCGGTTCGTAATGGTGAAAATCTGCTTCTTAAATGAAAAATCAGGTATGAATTACTGCATCATGAAGAAATGAAAACCCACAAAGCAGGAGTAGCGTTACTGTACTCTTGTATTGGGTATCCCAGCCTTTACGCACAGTTGGCCACAAGGTGTCACTCTTGTCTTAATAAAGATTGCTAGCATTTTTGAATGGAAGGAGAACAGCCAGGGAGAATTTTCCAATGTCATCCCTTATTTTATATCTTTTTTTTTAACTATAGGAATTGACACTAAAAGGGTTTTTAGTTGATTTCTGTTTATTCGGTGCTCCTGTGCCACTGTATTCATACCCTTGATGAACTGTCAGTAAAAGATAACACAGCTGCACATCATAAGAACACAGGAGGGGGTCACAGATGAGAGGAAACCATTTGACCCATCTAACCTGTTTGATGGTTAGTAGGATCTCATTCAGCTGTTGTTCCAGGCCAGTCTGGGCATCAGCTTCAGCATCACAGCTGGGGAGCTCGTTCTTCAATTTTTTTCCATAGTTGCTTTTAATTGATTTTCACAGAGTAATGGGGAAAGTCCAAATCTGTGTTATGAGAATAATTCCTTGCATTTGTTTGTCGTCTTTTATCCTTGAAGATCTTGACATGGAGTCATAGGAGGGAATCTGCTTCATCTACCACTGAATAGGCCAGCCCAGAGCAGGATTTACCCAGAACACTGGGGGCTAACATCCCTGCTTTTTCAAAAAGTGACGCAGGATCTCTAGTGAAAAAGTAGTCAGGACCTTGGGTTAACATGTATTCTGTAGGACAATGACTCCTACACCTACAGCACAGCATACCTGGTCACAATACTGGTGCAGGGGTTTGTGAAACTGGTGTCCGGAGGGAAGAGTGCCACCTACAGGTCAGCAACACCATTTACAGCAGCAGTCTGGCTTTTCTTAGAGGTCTGTAACCAGGCCAAGCCTTGCTCAGTTTCTGAAATTGGGCAAAATCAGGCTGCAGGTTTAGGATTAACCGCTGCCAAAATATATATATTTTTTTAAAATTTGTCACATTGCGCACCATTAGGTAGTTCAGGGTTAATGGCGTTCAGGGTTGCTAGACCGCCAGGAAGAAGAAATAAACAACGTCGACTCAAATGCGTGGCCCGTGTCAGAGGTTAACTCTCGCTCGAGAGCAGTCAAAGGGAATCTTCAAGAAACAATTTGACGTCACGAGGGTACAATGTCCTTAAGGCTGCCATTCAGAGTTGACCTCGTGAATTCAGTGTCTGTGGCAGAGTTCCATGGCCGCATAAAAAGAAAGGAATTTAGCCACATGGCAACGAATCAAATCCCGTTTCAAATGGGACGACTTTTTGTAGTTAGATTTCAAGCAGATCAAAACCATTTTATTGGACCGACACAGCGGTAATGCAATTTGCAGAACCAAAAGGTTAAAGTATTCTAAAGCCGTGTCATCAATTTTGTAAAGACGTGCTGTTTTTGGGTTACTGTTCATCCTCTGGTCCTGGTGTCCTCGACAGAGCTCAGTGGATTTGTTTACCACAGTACTTCAGCCAGAAAACGACAGCAGCTTCTCTGGAGAAGCTCCAGGTTGAGTGTAGATGGACAATGCAGTAGCAGAACTGCATGGAGCACACCTCCAAATTATTGCCCACCGGTTAAGTGAACAAATTCAACTTTCTCATCACTATCACAATATTGCAACCTCATTCCATTTGACCATGTGCAGTGTGAAGAGAAAGTAGTTCCTCCATGCATAACTGGAGAAGGAATAAGCTGCTGTCTGATGAAGGGTGTGATGCAAACTGCTTCCACTACTACTTGAAAAGTCTTGTTTGTATCGGGTTGAAACCAGTTACAGCTGATCCTCCTCAATGTTGCGTTTGAACTTCAGAAAGCCCTAAGTCATGTGTTTCGTAACCTCGCAAGTATTTGTTTGCAAGACTGCAGATCTGCCTGGTTTGGGATTTCCTTTTTAATATAATGTGGAATGCAACAGTATCCTCACTGCCTGCTGAAATGGTACACCATGAAGTGCATGGAAATATGACCCCTGCTGAGACAGCCTGCCTGAAGTGCTTCCTTCCAGTTTAATAGCACTTCTCCATGACCTGATGCACATAGAACAGTTACGGCATGAATAGAGCCCCGTGTAGGCACTCAGTAACGAAAGATCAGCGAATTGTTATTAATAAAAATGGGTACTTTTGAAGTAGATGAGTATTGGTGAGAGAACGGGACAGGATCTTGGATTTGATACTGTAGCTAAACTTACTTGAGACAAGCTTACCTACCCTGTGCTCATATTTGCATGCCAGATGACAACATCTCACGACTGTGTCGCAGCTGGGATTTGAACCTGTAACCTCCCAGCTACGAGTCCAGAACACCAATCACTGCACCACACTGTTTTTGCATAGTTTCAGTCGAATGCTAATGGCTGGTTTGGTTCGGTGAAGTTGACGGAAACATCCGGAATTTCAGCCCCTGTCCAGAGCATTGGTTCCCCTTCAGTTATCTTCTCCAAACCAAAAAGCAGTGCCCTCTTCATTTTCTTGAGATCTAAAACATGCTTCTGTCTCACTGGTTTTCTTGACAGCTGTGGTGTGATCAGGCAGAGAATGGCCTGTCTGGCGTGACCATGAACCCTTGTGTGTATTGACAAGGGACACAATTTAGTGTTATTTGAGTTTGCCCTGGAATGGTAAAGGGGAAAGCAGCTTGGACCACTCCTAGACCTATATCCGTTTTGCTTAGGAATTCACCAGTTTCTTCACGCGCCAACCTTCACTCGTTTATCTTTTTCTAACACCACGATGGCTCTTGTTTTACGGTATTTCTTGCCTGTGCCATTATTATTAAAATATCTGACCAGGCTTGACAGAACCCTCACAGACTCTGATTGCCAGGAATATCCCTGTTGGAAAAGGAGTTCCCCTAATGGATATTGGTTGCAGTGCCAGATTTCCCATCAGGGCCCACGAAGGAGGGAAACACTTTAATGGAAAAACGAGCTGAAACAACGTGCTTGCGAACGACTCTAGGTGCTCCAGATCAATAATCACATACTATCTAGTGGCTGTTCTAGACACTAGAAGTATGGAAGTGATGGTCGCTCGACTTGCTCCATCAATCGCGTGGTTTAGCGTTAGAAGAGTTTAAAGTGCATCGTGTCCCTCGACGTCATTCAATTGGCGTTGACCCCTCTTTTTGCACATTTCGGAGTGAAAGTGCCTAGGGCCTACGAACACAAAAATCCGATCCTGATCAGTTGTTAAATGCTGTTAATTACTAAAGCTGTACAAAAGATGTTTTTGGTGCCTTTTTTGATGTGTTTGAACTTGTTGATCCTTGAGGCAGGCAGTGCTGTGATTGCCTGGGCTCTCAGCACAAGAATTTCACTCTGGCTGACACATGGCAGCAAACTGTGTCAAAAAGTTAAAAAGTAATTGCATTCCAGTTGCATTACCCACAGGTGCCATTTCTAAATCCTGCAAACAGAAGATCATTATAAGTTCTGCTGGTGTGTTCCTGTGAATAGTTTAATCCTTGATTTGTTCCAAAATGGCAGATGTTCTAAATGCTTCTGATCTCAGTTTGATTGTGATTGTGATCAAAATAGTTTGAAAAAGGATTATGGAAGGTACAACTTAAAGTTATTACACTGTAACACACTGCTCACTCGCATTTTTTTCTCGCCAGTTTTCAGAAGCCATTTCCCAGCAAGAGCTGCATACCAAGTGGCTGCCTTGCCCAGGGTAAGTTGATAGCCTCCGAGTCTCACCAGATACCCATCAATCCACCCATTTCCTGACCGCTTCATCCAGTCCAGGGTCGCAGGGGAGCCGGAGCCTATCCTGGCAAGCGTTGGGTGCCAGGCAGGATACACTCAGGATGGGACGTCAGTCCTTTGCAGGACATGCACACACTTACACTAGGGTCCGTTTTCCCAGGAGCCAATCCATCTACCTGCGTGTCTGTGGACTGTGGGTGCAAGAACACAGGAGCATACAAACTCCACACTGCTAGCAGCAACATGTATAGACTACGCTACCGCCTGGCACGTCCTTCCTTTAAAATGTCTGACGTGCTTCTTCTACAGATGCCACTTGGATTGCTAGGCGGGTGTCTGAATGCTATGAGCAATTTACAACAGCTTCCCCATCTATTTACTCAAAGGCTCCACCAGTGTTTTCTACCACTCCAACAGCCCTGACTGTTACTGATACAGCTCAGTTTAGGGAACAGGACATTTAAAAAAAAAAGCTTCAACACGGCAACTGAAGGTAAACTATACAGGAGCAGCCAATAGGAAGTGTTATAGTAACTAATCCATTCCAATTGTCAGTCCGCTGTAATTGTTTTGGTAGTCAGATGGCCATTAACCACGCATAATTCTTTTTTACAAAGCTGTATGGCTTTTGTACTTCGAAATACAGATGTTATCAGGCTAAACTGTTAACAAATGTCCAGACTGTCAGTGGTTAAATGGTTTCTGCATAAAGAAGGGAAGAGAGAGGAACGAGCCCCACAGTGCAGTAATGCAGGGGTGATCCAGTGCTTGCTGTGCCCTGTGCCAGTCCAGTCTCTGAACGGGTTGTCTCTCTCTGGCAGGGTGGCCGTGTCGAGATCGAGGCGGTTGCTGTCCTGGGGCCCATTGCAGATGCCTCATCCTGACTAACCGGCCAGGAGCTGCACAGACTATGAGCTTGGAGCAGAAGGCTAGAAAGAGAAAGTCAAACGCCGATCCCAGTGTTTTGTTTTTGGCTTTGTAGTATTTTTTTAATCATGCTCACTGGATTGAATCATGAACATCAGTACGAGTAAAGGCACAAGATCCAATGTCTGTTCTCATTTACTGAAAAACAATCATAATAAGACTGTCCTTCCATTTACCTGATGGAGTCCCCACTGTTGCTCAGATGTTTGCCTGGATATCCATACAGTTTGGGGAATTGAAACTGAAGTAATAGAAGGAAATTCAGTATTGAAAGAAGAAAAGAAAGTCCGTTCCAGTATATTCGTTGCACTGGCTGGACTTAACTGAACTGTAATACTAAATGGAAGCCGTAATGTCATTACGGTCAGGTTAGAGATGGTAATGAAAATAGACCCGTGAGCAGGCCCTGCGTCCTTCACATAGAGACGCAACAGCAAGCAGGACAGCAAAATGAGGTGCTGGGAAAGGGTTAAATAGTCTTGATAATTATTTTAACAACGCCTCAATTATTCATGTCAGATTGAATAGTAGGATGGTGCAGGTGTCCTTGACATGGGTGTGTGAGAGAATCCAAGGCAAACACACTTACTGCAGGGGAGAGGGATGGTTGTGGTTCTGTTTTGAAATGGTAATTAATCACTGACAGTGATGATTCAGTTTCACTACAGTTTATTAGATTTGATATTAGATTATTCATCTATATCTGACTCTTCACTTGATCAGTGGTCCTAGTATTGATATTGACCAGGGGAGTGAGAAATGTAAAAGCAATTAAGTAGAAACGCTCACAAGTTTTGTTTTGGTTTTTGGGAAAGTCCTGAATTCGTCAGTGGTGTGGAATGGAGGTATCTGGCTATGGCAGATTTAATCTATGGGGTTCATGCTGAATAAACATGTTAACAGCTAATTCCAGACCACTGTCCAAGGTTATTCCACATTTTTTATGGTTTGCAGTTTTGACCAATAACCTAGGTTCAACTGCTGGAATTTCTTTTTGCGTTTTGTACCATACTAAGTATAAATACAGTTCCGAAACCTTTCTTGAACCAATTCTGCTCAATGTCTGGATTTAAACTTCTGTCGCCCAGTTGGGAATTGTTCATCCTGCTTTGCTGCCTGCGGCCCCCTATCACAGAGCCTGCAAAGGACAAAATCATTTTATATACAGCACCATTCACAACACAGTATTTTAAGGCTCTTTAAAAGAATATAGACTGGTAGGCACCAATTAAAAACAGCACATTAACATTAAAATCTAAAATATAAAAGGGAGTGTTAAGATGGAACTTGTAAGTGCTGACAGACTTGCGATTCTGACACCGGCTGGAAAATAACTCCACTGTCCTGGAACAACGGAACACACCGCAGGGTCTCTCGGTGTCCCCTGCAGTTTTGGGAACACAGCTAAAAGAAGATGAGAGTCCAGTCTAAATGTGTTGGGAGCTAGCTCCTGGGTACACTGCTACAGGACCCAAACCCTTCATCCCCCTTAACAGCATCCTTAGCAGTGGTGTTATGAATGTTATTGCTGGTGGTATCTTTTCATGCAGTTTGTTGTAAGTTAAGATTCAATCAGTGTTTGGGAGCACCAGCAAGCGCTGAATTCCAATAATGAAAAAAAGATAAAAGTGTGCATTAGCCTTTTCTGTTCCAGACTTGGAGGGATTAGCACTGCCACCAAATCGGGGAAAAGACACTGGCTCAGCGTTGGGCTGAAACAGGGGACACCCAGCTGGTGAATGGGGTCCCTGTTGTTGTATCTGGGGATCAGTTACCCCTTGCAAACTGCACCCTAAGATCCTGGGGTCCCCCTGGGACCCTTTGACCACAGTAATAATAATAATAATAATAATAATAATTGCTTACATTTATATAGCGCTTTTCTGGACACTCCACTCAAAGCGCTTTACAGGTAATGGGGACTCCCCTCCACCACCACCAATGTGCAGCTCCACCTGGATGATGCGACGGCAGCCATAGTGCGCCAGAACGCTCACCACACATCAGCTATCAGTGGGGAGGAGAGCAGAGTAATGAAGCCTATTCATAGAGGGGGATTATTAGGAGGCCATGATTGGTAAGGGCCAATGGGAATGGGGCCAGGACGCCGGGGTTACACCCCTACTACCAGTGGATGGGATAGTCCGGGCTGCACTGGCAGCACATGGAGATTATAACGACAGCCCAGGATAATAACAGTGTTCTTTGTTTTCAGTATTCTGATTTGCAGTGCCTCTACACTTGATCACAGCTTAGCAAAAAGTATTGCCCTCTTGGTATTCAAGTCGGATGTTTTATCATCATTAACCGTGCTTATTTTAAATATCAGTGTTGCACAATTATACATCAGCATTGTATTGACTATTATCAGGATATCTTGTTCAGAAACTGGCAAAATAAACATGCTGCAATATCCCCCATGTGCTCAGGATGTTGCATGATCAGTGTCTCCTCTCACATGAGCTTGAGAGACTGGTGAGCCAAAACTAACTGTTACAGCTAATAGCAAAGCTTTAGTGTTTTTAACTGGGAAGCAGGCAGCCAACAGCAAGGTGAAAGGGGCTTTTTTCACAAGTTAACAATGTGGAACTCTTTATCTGAAAGCCTGGCTGCAGATATTTTGAGCCGCAGACCTATAACTAAATACAATCTCACTTGAAACTCCTTGCTCGAAGTTCCTGGTTTGAAAAGATTCATGGTTTCTTCAGAAGCTCCACTTTCCCAATTATGATCTGGTTAATTCGTCATGAAGAGACAGACATCAAACAGAGCATGGTGGCTTACATTCAAAATGGAATCTCTCCTTATAAAAGATGCAAATATATTAATGTAAAACCTATCGTGTTTCAGATTTGTCTTTACATTACATTTTATTTCACATCATAATAGGGGGACCAAGCACCTTTGTGAAAGGTTGTACATTGAACCAGGTGGATCCAGCATGTTAAAGACACTCAATCTATTTACAGTCTTGCTTTATTTTTAAATGACTGTGATGGTGCTTTGCCTTAAATTTAATTCAGAAGGAACATTAAAGCAAAGCTCCTTAAGTTGCCTCTTCCCTGTTCTTTAACCTATCAGGCGGTTTAATTCCAAATAAAATGTGAACTCTCAAAATGATAAGATTTTTAAAAGCAATAATAGCACGAACATTTTTAAACAGTACCTATGCAGCTAATAAAGCAAAAACGATATGTACAAGATTCAAAACACCCTCGCCCCCATTTTCAGCAAAAAAAAGGCACAGTGATGTCTTCAGTAACAAAAACGTGTGAGAATTGCTGCTTTGCAATTTGGCAACTGGCAAAGGTAAAGATCACATTTAACTCTGCTGCATTTCTTTGTCGGAGTTCCGATGTCCCCAAAAGCCCCTTTTGCTTCCTTTTCCTGAAGGACAGGTTCTTCTGCTCCTTGATGACTAAAAGTGGATGGTTATGTGAGGAGGACTTCGCTTCTTTACTCCACGCTGGTAGCTGAAACACAAGCAAAACAGCTCAGAGGTGGAATCCTCATTGGAGATTAATACTGAAGGCCAGTGGCAATGGACACTAAACCACTTGAACGTTCACATCAGTCACTGAATTATTCTTTTCTTATATTTCTGAATAACGAATACCATTAGGTTTGAGCAGCATCTTGCGGCCCAATGCAGGTACGTGACAGTGCTCCTGACAAACAATCATCATGCCTGAAACCTCTGGGGTTTAAAATGCGGACGCTCACTGGTGTGTTTCTTTAAGATAATGGAAAGGGTCCTATAGGAGCCGGGGGTCACGAGAGAGTTCGACTGTAGACGAGATGAGGCCCGTCTTGTTCAAATGGCTGTTGGGCAGGAGCTGAGGCAAGAAGGCCTGTCAGGAATTGCTGAGCAATGACATGCTCTCTTGTGTGCCAAGTTTGATCATCATCGGGTTCAATCAGTGTGTCTGTGTCTGGGTCTAAACATAGCTCTCTTAATGTTCAAGACAGAGGACAGACCACATTTATGTGGTGGGCTAAAAGAATGTGCGACATTCTCAAACCCTTTTTATATTTTGCCTTGGTATTTAAAATATTCTTATACCATGACCACCCGTTTACATTCTGTGTTTCAATACATGCCGTGTTCTTGTCCTAAATGCGACTTCTGTGGTTGATGGTGGCTGTGTCTGGCCCCATATATATAAAGCGCACCTGGAAGTGCTTGAGATTTAGAGTAGAGAGATCAGAAAACATGGTCTCTCTCTCCTTGCTCTCCGCACGACCTTCTCTAACACACTCATATCAAAACTAGCCTGAACTGCGCCGTGACATCTTGATCTCCTGCACAGGAAAGAGCTCTCTTCTCACCAGAGAGAGTGTCCACTAGCTCCTCCACCTCTGCCTGCTCCGTGTCTGCCGGCTCTGCTGGCTTTGTCTCCTGCTGTGTCTCCTCTTCCACCTTCTCCCCCGTCTCGCCTAGAAACACACGGCAGAGGGAACGAGAGCACCAGTACTACACAGGTTCTTGGGGTTGACTGAACCGTACACATCTGTGGGCTCCCTTCTGGGAGAATTCTTCCACTGTTGCAGTTCCTCCATGGTACTGTAGTCATTTAAAGGGGAGCTGCAATGCTATTTTTATATGTTATATTTCAGGGTTAGAAAGACATTGATGAGTGCATTTCAAACCACAATAACGGTAAAATGTAAACAGTAACTGGGGAATGAAGTTAAAAAGCAACACGGAGCTAAAAACAAACGTTATTGTTTGATTCTCCCATCATTAGAGTTGGAATGTCAAAACTATTAGAAAACGGACAGCATGTGTAGAGGGTTTTTTAAACATAAGTGATTTACAAAGCTGTTTTCATTTACTTGACAAGTATTTCGTGTGTTTCTTTAAATACGGATTAAAAATGGGCCGCCGTTAACAGTGCAGATCTTGAATACAAAGCACCTGATTTGGTGGTGTTCACTCTCTGTACTGGCAAACCTTGGGTTTAAATGCATTCAATGGGGCGACTGCCGCTAGAAACCTAGCTGAGAGGTTCTGACACGTTTTCCTTTGCTCGTACCTTCGACCTGGCTCTCTGAGGTCTGGGTTTCCTCTGCGGTCTCAGCGGAGGCGGGGGGCATGTCGGCCTCCACTGGTGTCACCTCTGACTCCCCGGCTGGGCAGCTGGACGAGTCTTCTGCGCTGCCCTCCGCGCTGGCGTCTGCCGCCTCCTTGCCCGCGGGGTCATCTTCTGAGGCGGCGTCCTGAGCCCCGGGTTCGCCGGGCGGCTCGGCGTCTGGAGCGCCGGGCGCGTCTGGCTCGTCCTCTGGGTCGGGCGTCGCGCAGCCCGAAGAGACGACGGCGGCGGCGGCCCCCGGGGTAGCGGACGTCTCCTCCGCCTCGGCCTGCTGCTCGGCGGCTGCGGGCGCATGAGCAAGGAGCTGTAGTTCTGCGGGGGCCTCAGACAGTGCCGCTGTGTCATCCTGGGGGGGCTCGGTGTCATGGGGACTCTCGGGGACTGCCCCCGGGGGCTCCGCACTGAACCAGTGCCGCTGGTCCTGTGAGCAGGGGATATCCTCGAAACTCTGGATCGGAAGAGGAACTTGGTCTGCTATAGTTTCACAGTCCTCAGCACTGGCTCTGTTCTGATTCTGAGCCACTGTTGGGATAAGCAGCCCCAGGGAAAAGAGGAGGGGAAAGAAATTGCGTAGGTTACTACCATTTTATAAAGGAACATCAGATTGTTAGCTCCTGGCTCATGACATATTCTTCAAATTAGCTTATTTACTACCTTATTACAGCATATATGCTACTTCAAGACAGCAGAGTGGAGCAGCTGTCGGGTCTCTGGACTAGGTGCGGGTTCACATCCTTACAAGTGTGTCAGACACTTGTGTTTGTAACCCCGCGAGGTTTTTTTCTCATACAGCTCCAGTAAGTGCGTCCCCAGGGCGTTCTGGTAAATAAAAGTGTTCTCAGTTGAGCTACAGGGTGAAATAAAAGGATGAAAAAAACAGCCTTGTGGGGGTTTTGAAATAGTTTTAGCAATAGAAAGGTTGACTCAGTATATTATGTCCAGTAAACATGGTTCCACTGTTGGCAGCACTCTGTCTCGCTATGTACTAACATGCTGGTGCTCTATGCAATTGTGAATAAATTAATGAAAAACTGATTTTAATGCTCACATCAGTCACTTTGGTGTAGATGGTTACTTTATTCAATACTATTGGTGGAATTAGCTTTCTACATATCATGCTGCAATATATAAAAACAAAAGTAGTGTTATTTGCTCCTCTTTTAATATATGAATATTTTCTCTCGAGTTACTCTAATTTAAAACGTTTTTTTTTTCTTCAAATGCTCTGTTTCTGCACTTGAACCATTTTCTAACTGCTTCTTCCAATTCAAGGTCATGGGGGGCCAGAGCATACAGGTGGAAGGCAGGGTAATGGCTCTTTTTGGGACTGATTTCAGAGCAGCAGCAGCATTTTTGTAACAAAACTGTACACAGCAGTCTACACGAAGGCATACTTGTGCATTGTACAATTTTAACATAACACCCCTTTATATAAATTCAATGCTTTAAACTGTAAACAGTTAACACCATAATTTTCCCTTTGTATTACTTCTGTACAGTGTCTGGGAGCTGAAAATAATGAATCAACAGCTTCATCAAGCTCAGTGCTTCCCCCATGTAGTATCTGAACTGTTTTTGCTACTTGCATGTAACATTCTGTGTGTGTCTATATTAAATGTTGTCTGCCAAGTGCTTATCTGCTTGATGTGCCCAGTCTGAATTCTTTCTAGGTCTTTTGAATTTCATTTGCTCTTCATGCACTGGCAAGAAAAGATCACTGCTAATCCAGTGGGGAATGCGGAATTAATTTTTGTCAACAAGTACGACGACTTTGCCTGACCTTAAAGAAAAGCCTTTTTTGATTATTTTTTTTAGCAGGTTTCCAGGAAAAGTTACAGCCAAATTGTTTTTGCTGTACAAAGATTGGTTTCTCAGTGTTTGCTGTTATTCGGGGGAGCATTTTCCTATTTGTTTTTTTTTTCAAAAATCAGCATTTGATTCTCAATAAACATGCAGTGGGAAGATAAAATGTGGCTGTTTGTATCAGGCTCTTAAAGGATTCGTTTGAAACACAGTTCTCAAATGCATTTTACGTAATCCGTATTTAAGTTCCAAACTGCACATTCTGAGCACAATGACAACAGCTCACCTTCCTTATGCCTTATTCAGATGGCCCCAGAGGGACAGCAGTAAGCTACTGACCTTTAACACTGTGTCTGATTTGAGCAGTGTAGGTCCTGGGTGCTTCTGAAAGAGGTTTGTGCTGTGCAAGCCTGAGCCACTAGTCAAACCCCCCACTCAGGAACAACCCAAATGACAAGCAGGTGATTTCTGGCATTGGGCATAGGTGACCTCATAAAGGAGGCAGTTCTTTACCCAAAGGGTTGTGGGAGTGTGGAACAACCTGCCCAGGCACATGGTTGAAGCTGACACCAGGATGTCTTTTAAGAAAAAGCTGCATTTCCATTGATTCTTATAGGAAATAAGTTCCTACCTAATGTTCCTGTTTAATGGTCACCATTAAGGATGTTACCCCGTATCTACTAAATACCAAATGGGTCAGAAGTGCCAAATGACCTCTCGTGTTCTTATGAACTCTGTACTTTGAATTTTTAACCACCACAGGGTCCCTCAGATAGCTGCAACTCTCTGGACAGATGTTGTTTTCCATTCTACCAGCCACATTCAGGGGTGCTCAGACACAGAGTACATAATCTCTCTTGCTGGTCAGAAGCCAAATGAGGTCTGGTATCTGTTAATAGAGAACAGAAAGCCGTATCACAAAAAATAGCAGGTAATTTGACTTTGTGGTCAGCTTTTGCATTTAAGAAAGGGAAGATGAGCCTTTCTAATGCCTTTCCTCTTATTCCCATTTACTGGTAATAAAATGCAACCTATCAGGTGGCAAAAATGTTGCGTTTTCCCAAAACCCAGCTTCATGAGTGATTATTTCTTGAATACACATCTGGTATTCAGCTGTCTTCCAAAGTCAAATACCAGTATTTCCTTTCTAAAAAGCAGCTGGTTTTGCGTTTGCTGTCCAGTCTGCCTGTGATGACTGAAGTCTTCTGAAGCCAGATGAATATGAGGTCTGAACAGCATGTAGTCCAGTATCTGGATCGCTCAGAAAACATTGTCATCTCCCGGGTACATCCTTATTCCTAAAAATCCTAGTTCTATACAACAAATCAAAGGGGAATATACAGGAGATGTAAAATATCTATTATGCGTGAGAGTCTGCACTGTGTTCCTATCCTGTGTGTCAAGCTGTAGATCATGCAGAAAAAAAGAATGCATGTAACTTTAAGTTGCCCAACTGCAGATTGTGAATTTGGAGACAGTAAGTGAAAATGGCATGTTCGAAATGAAGCTTTCAAACAGAAGCAGCCATACTGTCCTCTAGGCTCTCACCTAAAGGGAAGGTGTGGTGTGTCACTTGTTACACAAGGTGTGCAGGGAGAACTTATCGTGACATGTGCACTTCTGAAAAAGCACTTCTGTCCAGCTGCCCACAGACCTGCAAATGCCGTTAAGTTTCTAATTACTGCAGTGTAACCATGAGCTGTTCTCACCACGTCACAGGCCCCCTCCATTCCAAGAGAGGAAAGGAGATGTCAGGAGAATCCCAACATGCTCCTGTCCTTGTGCTTACTAAAATAATCAACCATGGATAATCACCGCACAAAGACTCCCCCATCACCGTGGGAAAAGAAACAGAGAAAAGCAATGACTGAAACAGTTCATTTAGTGCATGGTCTGTGCAGGCAATATATATAATACATCATTCCTGGAGGTAGAAAGGAAGGGGCTGTAGACCTGGTCAAATTATGAGAGGACTCAGGAATGGGGCTACAAAACCCTGCTTCTGGAAGTAAACGTTTTCAGAAATGGACACTCCTGACAGAAGGGATAGCTCCTCACTCCTATCGTGTGGACCTCTTATCAGATGAATGCCTGTATGTGAGATGTCCTTCAGTCCTGTCTGTGGAAACACTTTCGCAGAGAAGAATTGTTATGAGCGATCGATTTTTTTGTCTTATTTTAATCAAACAAATGCACCGATTATTATGTTATGATATTACAACTGTAACAATTATGTTACAATTCCTTGCAAAAGTATTGTCCCATCCATCCCTACCTTTTCTAATGGCTTTATCCAATTCATGGCCACAGGGAGCTGGAATCTATCCTGGCACGGATACACCCTGGATCGGGAGTCAGTCCACTGCAGGGCAGACAGGCACAAACTCCCACTCATGGCAGGGACAATTTTCCCAGGAGCCATTTAACCTACAAGCACACCTTGTGGGAGCGCTGGAAGGGACTGTGGGTCCTGTACAGGGACTAAAGAAAAAATCCCTGTTCCCTGAGCTACTGCGGAGGACTGGACGACCGCAGTTTTGGAGATGGGACAAGGAAAAGGCAGGGACAAAAGCAAGCGGAAGAGCTTGGAGGGACTCTTTCATTGTGCAAATCCAGCCTCATCATCCACTTGCACTGATTGATCATGGACAATCACCTGATTAAGAAAGTTTTTAATTGATGTCAGTTTAATAATTTGTTAAAGTGCGTACCCATTGTGAGATGTTTTTTTGTGAAATAAAGCTTATTGTGATAGAAAAAAACAAGTACATCTTTGGAATATACAAGGAAACCAGAGCACCCAGAGGTAATCATGTGAACGGGGTGGAACATGCAAACTCCGTGCAGATAGTACCCCAGAGCTGGAACTCAACCAACAACCCCAGCACTGCACGGCAAGAGTGCAAACCAATGTGCCACTCCATCACCACACCACCCCCTGGGAATGGTGCACGTTTTTATACTGAACATTTTATTCAAAACCTGAATGCTCAGACTGAGGACTTCAAAGGGTAAGAAATGTACAGTAAATATCAGCAAAAACCTAAGGATAAAAAAAAACTGAAATATGATGAAGGCTTGAGTATTCAGACCCAGGAACTCAATATTTGGTGGAAGCACCAAATATGGGTTTAAATAACTTTAAATCTCCCAACAATTACAGCAGCGGGTCTGTCTGAGTGACTCCCTGCCCACATCGCACATTGGTTACCTCTGCAAGGCACTGCTTGCAAAGCTCAATGGGGATTGATGAATCACCCATCCACCAGCCGTGATCTCCAGGGGTTAAACTGGTTGCAGGTTAGAAGTGGACCTAAGTTAAGTGTTAAACCCACAGTCGTGTTTCTCACCAGGATTGACACCCGATATCATTAAGGATACAGTATATTGAGGCCTTGTTTAGAAGGTAGAATTGCAGGGGCATTTTCTCTGTCTCTGCCGGCAGACCTGGATTTGATGTTTTTGTGCTGCCTGTCTGATCCTGAGGTCAGAGAGCTTTTATCTAGTGCCTGTAGAAGACCACTAAATTAGATGTTACAACCCGAAACTCTCAGAAAAACCTGACCAAAACAAAAAAGAGGTTGGGTGTTTTCTGCAGAGGTGTGAAATCCCAGGCTATTCACGTTTACCAGTTTCCTAAAATACAAGTATGTCAATTTCACTTTTGTTGTATGCACAAGTCTTCCTTTGAATTTCTATTGCACTCAGAAAGGCAATACAGTTTGCCTCCCGTTGGATTCCTGAAAAGTTCAATTGTGAGTGATAATGTAGGACACTACCGTTACTGGACAATAAACCTGTGTTGGAAATTTCAGTAGATACTGGCTTGTGGCCGGGAGAAAGCAGTAGTATTCAAAGCTAAGCAAATGACCGGGAATAATTTTACATCTGAGACTGAATTATCAGTCTTTCAGGATTATGTGACAAGAAAAATCGGCTACAAAAAGTTACACATTTGAGCAGCATTTGCTTACCCAGTTTCCTATCAAATTCTGCAGGCGGTGCGTGGTGCCTGCAGGCCAAAGAAGCTCACATGAACAGCTGCCATTTGATTTCCTTCAACCTGAGCTTCCAGCGACCTCAGTGTGGTCATTGTTTGTCTTATCAGTCCAAATGAGCACTTTCTGTTCCAACTACTCCTGGTTCACATCTAAGTGCCTGCTGGACACACAAGCCAATAAGCTGGAATTTCAAATCGCATCAACAGATTGGAGTTTTAATATGAATTAACACCAAAAGTGGTGAAATAATGGGAAGGAAACCGAAACGCCTGTTACCACCAGTGTCAAAGAATCTCTGAACAAATGGAACACACTGAGCACGTAACTCCTGCTCATTAGTGTAACACCAAATCCTTGATCTTACATTTAACACACAAGGGGTTTTAAGCAGTAGGCTGCTCTTCCATTTTCTTTGCAATCCTTACTAATTTATTGGTTTAACATTTTTATCCAAAATAATTTTTATCTGTGCTGCCTGTGAACTTCCACAAGGCCCGTGGTGGAATCTGAACCCTCAATCTTCTAGGTATGAAAGTAAGGCCCAAAGAACTGCTTCACAAGACTGTCGTAATAAAGCCTTCTCGTTTTTTTAAAGCACCAGCATGTTTTCTGTGGTATTGCTGGAGAGTTCCATCGGCTCTGACTGCTTTTTTGTTCTGGCAACGGCTTACATCAATGGGCTATGCGAACTTTCTCTCAGAAACAGCAAAACAGACAAACTACCTTACTTAATACTTTACAATATCCCTCTTTTAATCTGAAAAATGCAAGAACATAAGGACAAAAACAAAAAATAAGGTGATAAACGGGAGGCGGCCATTCATCTATCTAGACTGCTATTATTAGTTAATTAATCCAATGTTCAATTCTTACCCCGAACATGTTTTCTGACAATTTTTTAATGGTTTTGATGCAAGTTCATTATAAACATGTCCAGGCTAAAGATGAAAAAACAACTACTATTCAATTTAATTTCACGGTCTTTTCAACTAATTTAAAACTTTCTTTTTATTTTTATCAACTACTTTTTCAGAGTGCTCTTACATACTGACAATGCAAAGGGCTACAGAAATAGAATATAACTGGGCCTTCACTGCATATTGTACATAACGTTAGAGTACACAATTGCAGTTTTACCATCACTTTAGAAAATCACCACAAAATCTGTTGAATCACTCAAACATTATTTGCTTGTTTAAATAACAGTGTGTGTGTTTTAATGCAGATAAAAATTCAGTATTTCTTGCAGTACTTGATTAGGCCATCTGGCCCCATTAGCCCATCCAGTTTCTAGTAGCTAATTGACCTGAATATCTCATCCAGCCATGTCTTGAAAGAAACTTGGTTATCAGCTTTGACAACATGATTGTTTACCTTCTTCCACAGCACTTTGTATAAAACGTGCCTCCTGTTATCAGCTTTAAGATGCACATCCCCTTAACTTTATTTTGTGTCATCTGGTTCGTGTCAAAAAAACAGATAAAGGATCAGCCGTCATATTCCCTTTTAGACCCTGCAATGTTTCACTTGTTGTTACAGGTACATACAGCTGTACACCTCCTTGGGAGGCATGACGATACTAAATGCTTGTGCTGAATTGTGCATCAGGCCCAGTCTTGATCTACAGTGGGTTTTTTTTTATTTACTCACTGTAATTATACACCTTAAACTGCTGGTATCTGGTGTTCAGTGACACCGATGCAAAAGGGCAGGCAAAACTCATTCTGATAAGCCTCAGTCTTGCTCTGGGGCCACGGGTGCCCAGCATCCCAAGAACTACATTGAGCCTCAACCCCTCTCTGCCAAGTATGCTGTACAGCCTCGAACCCAGACCTGCAGCCTTCAGGATACTAGCAAGGAAGCACACATACACAAAACTCTGGACCATCCAAGAAGAAGTTCTATAACTCTCATCCTGGCCAATTACTATTGTGAGTGAACGTGATGATCCTTGTTAATGTTAGCAGTGAAGTCTAACATCACACTTTCCAAAATGCTTCCGCACTCTAAGCCTGGTGGAAACCTTAGGCGCTGACACATCACCACGCTTTCAAACACTGAGAGGAAACAAGGTGCAAAGAAAAGTTACGTTTTGACACTAAACAAATGCACCTTTTACGTACTATACAAATTAAAAAACTTCCAAAACGCCCAATCAAGAGCCCCTACATTCCTGCGACTTAACTCCTGGTCATTTTTTGTAATAAACAGCTTCAGAATTAAATTAAAAAAAATGTTTACTGCAGTTACTTGTGTGTGTGAAAGTACTGAACGAGCTGTACCTCATGCAGATACAGTAGCGTTCCTTGAAGCTGGACTGGCTCCAAGCAGCTGGCGCGGTGCTGTTGGGGTGTTCCAGCGACCACGCCCAACCACGCCCAGACACGCCTAGCCACGCCCAGACATACCGGCCACGCCCAGACACACACAGTCACGCCCCCTTCACGCCAAGCACGCCTAACAAAACGGGTCGCGCCCAGTAGTGGGCGGGGCTTGTAGAGAGCTCAGTCGGGGTGCTCCGTGTGCTACTGGGGTCTGTTGCATAGACGCTGTCACAGACAAGACAAGACAAGACCAAAAGGACTTGGAAGGGTGTCTTGTCAAGCTGAGCTCAGCTACCAGCCGGCCGGAGTCAAGGGCGCCGCTGGTGAGCTTGGCTGACTGAGTTTGGCACCGTGAATTCTGGCTTGATGTTTAAACACTAACAACAAGATAAGATCGGCAGTTGTTCTATAAGCTATCATCAAGTAACTTTTAACAGCTTTCACTGTATAATGCATTACACAAGTTAAAAAAATACAAGTGATACGGATAAAAATATATACGATATGTAGGTTTAAAATTTGCAGGAAATACACATTTCTCAATCAAGTTATGAATGGCTTTGCACAGGTTTTACAAGTAATGCAAAATTTCATAATTAGACTACAGAATACTTAGTTCTACACAATTATGAATAACATTACGAGTAACTGAAATCGACAGGTTAGAAATCAAGATTATGAGTATGCACGTTAAATTAGATAGTGGTAAAAGGTCTATATCTTTTTCAAGAAACGTGGAAAAATCAATAAACAAACTGTAAAAGGTTGTGTCGCCTGGCCCGCATATATTGGATTGTTAAAGAATCAGTTTCCTACATTTCAGAATAATTTCTAAAACCGAATGGGATGGAGAATGAATGTAACTAGAAGTTTCGGTCACATACGCATTTAATGGTTCATCCCCACCGGGAACACGTTTCTGTGCACGACGGCTTATAAAAAGACGCCCTGACACCTTTTATTATGAAAACACTTCCATAAGTCCAGACGAATGAAGACCCTTTCCAAATGTATCCCTCTTCCAAAATATACTGAATCAGACTGTCTGCTAAAGCATGGGTGAAATTACAGTAATTATGCATTAAGTCTAAAAGCTTTGAACCTGCAGTTCAACTTCCTGAATTATTCAACATAACCATCAACCTGGTTATTTTAAAATGCAGGAGAACTGAAGTATTGGATTTCTAGTTTATACCGTGGATCTGGCATAAATCACACGGCACACGTTTCCGTGCCGTTTCGTAACTACTAAGTCATGTGGCAATTTGATCTTTTCAAAAACAAACTTTTTTAACGGCTTCTACGCGTGTTTTGTGTTGGTGAGCAGCACGCCACAACCAGGCATAAAACGTCAGTACAATTCAGAAGAGTTAAGTACAATAAGACCTGTCACTCTTTCATGCCACAATTGACTTGCTAAGACTTACAGGAATATTTGGTCTATTTTCATATAACAAGTAACACGCATTTTCCTGCAGTCAAATAAGCTGCACGTCTTTCACACTTACCGATTGTGTTACTAGCTCCGTTACTTTCTTCGGCTTTCGTGCCCGGTCTGTTCCCTTCTTGCGACAGGGTCTGGGTACTTGACGAGCATCCCATTTTATTTTTTTGCAGAAGCGAAAAGGCAACAAACCAAAAGCAAATTCAACAACTTGCACCTCCAGCGAGGTTAACTAGCGTCGTCTGTGTCTAGCGCAAACACGCCGGCAGCCTGACGTTCACGAACCCATCCGGTTCGACTCGATTTTTAGCAGAAGCTTAACATCTTTATTCCCCATTAACCTTTTCTTTACGCATGACCTGCGTGCTCATCCTCCGGACTGCGAATAGCTACGATCCGTTACCATATGATCAGGGGAAGCTGCGCCGCGTCTCTCTGAGAACCTGAGGACATTTACATTATTCAGCGAGTCGGCGAGCGGGCGTATCCAAATTCAGCCCAAGTTAGAAGTTCACAATGCCCGGAGGGCTGAGGGAACCCGAGGCCGGCCAATAGCACCCGCCCGGTGGTGCTGTTTTGTAAACTAATACCGTATGGCGTTGAATTCCAACCCCCTGCGGAAGCTAGCCTGTGAAATTATTTGAAGTCGTGTTTGTCAAGTTACCCGTGAGATGACGGAGAAAGACCACGGTGGGTGTATATGATATTTGAATACGTCATTAAATAGGTGACGACCCCCTCCCCCCGTCATTATTCGAAAGAATAATTCAAACAGGGTGCAGGTAATGTGAAGTTTTAAGACCACTCAGAGCTTTTAACAGTTACAGCCGCTGATAAAGCCGCCTAATCTTTATTCTCCGGTTCTGTAGTTCTTTAGGTCCGGTTCTGTAGTGCTGTACTCTCCCCGGACTGGACCCAGCGTCCACTGGCTCTTTACACGTGCTCTTCTACAAAACGTTTAACTTCAAACCCTTGGGTGGTAAATGTTTGGTTACCAGAGCTGTCTCACAACTACTCGCATGCAAACCAGCGCTGAGGAGTAGAGTTTGGCGTTGGTGATTGTAGAAGGGGGCACTCTTCGTAATACAGGTACATTATTTATAGTATATTAACACTGTGATCGTAATTGTGTGGTATTTACAGTTTAAAATAGGGTATTGTATTTTCATGGAAATCAAATAACCAATAAGCTAGTGGATTATGTAATTATTATGTTAGAAGTGTGTAATATCTTGAAGTTTGTGTAACCACATTGTGACATGTTGCTGGTGGTACTGCATTGTAGTTACACTTTTCAATACTTTTCAATATTTGAACATAATCCCGCGGCTGAACCAATAATTACACTATTAATGAGTTTTTTCACAGGATGACTGTTGCAACTCGTGTATCTTAAGTAATAACTGCGTAATTATTCTGGATTCATCCTCTCAATCCTATCATTTTAATGTAAAAGTATTATTTGATCTGAAGTCAAACATATGCCCGGATAAAACAAAACTCCATACTTAGGGTCCAGTC